TGTGCATGTGAAATCTTGTGCATGTGCATGTGTCATGCACAGGCGAGACAGCGACGTGATCCCAGAAAGTTGAGACAATTTCAACTTTTCATCACTTTCGCTTTTAGTAAGTCAGACCTGTTCCCGGTGAGGGTTGGACTCTGCCAGGGCTGCCCTTTGTCACCGGTTCTGTTCATTACCTTTATGGACAGAATTTCTAGGCGTAGCCGTGGCGTGGAGTGTGTCGAGTTTGGTGGCAGGAGAATCTTGTCTCTACTTTTTGCAGATGATGTGGTCCTCCTAGCTTCATCCAGCTCTGACCTTCAGCTCTTGCTGGGTAGGTTTGCAGCCGAGTGTGAAGCAGCTGGGATGAGGATCAGCACCTCCAAATCTGAGACCATGGTTCTCGATCGGAAAAGGTTGGCTTGCCAACTCCAAATCGGGGGAGAGGTCCTATCTCAAGTGGAGGAGTTTAAGTATCTCGGGGTCTTGTTCACGAGTGAGGGTAGGAGGGATCGGGAGATCGACAGGCGGATTGGTTCAGCGTCTGCAGTGATGCGGACGCTGAGCCGATCTGTCGTGGTGAAGAGAGAGCTGAGCCAGAAAGCCAGGCTCTCGATTTACCGGACGATCTACGTCCCAATCCTCACCTATGGTCATGAGCTTTGGGTAATGACCGAAAGAACAAGATCACGAATACAAGCGGCCGAAATGAGTTTCCTCCGTAGGGTGGCCAGGCTCAGCCTTAGAGATAGGGTGAGGAGCTCGGACATTCGGGAGGGACTTGGAGTAGAACCGCTGCTCCTCCGGACAAAAGGAGCCAGTTGAGGTGGTTTGGGCATCTGGTCAGGATGCCTCCTGGACGCCTCCCCGAGGAGGTGTTTCGGGCATGTCCTGCCGGCAGAAGGCCCCCGGGTCGACCCAGGACACGTTGGAGAGGTTACATCTCCAATCTGGTCCGAAAACGCCTTGGGGTCCTGCCCGAGGAGCTGGTGGAGGTGGTTGGGGAGAGGACGGTCTGGAGCTCCCTAGTTGGGATGCTGCCCCCGCGACCCGGATAAGCGGAGGAAGACGACAACGATCACTTTCGCTCGGACAAGGACCAATGAGCGAACAGGATGGCCCTCAGTACATCTCCAAGCAAACATGAAGGAAAAGTTAATACTTGTCGTGTTGGATTTCCCAGAGCTTTACAACATTTCCACAAAATAATATAGAGATCTTCACGAAAAAGCAGCAGCATAGGAACTTGTTGATGAGTTGGTTGTGAGTGTGGTCTCATTCACCATTTCTTTGTCTGTTTGTAATATGGAATGAACCCATTCACGTATTTTTCTCTTTTATACAGTAAAGTCAGAAGTAAGACCACTTACCTCTAGCAAAACCTTGTGAGACTTCATATCTACTGCCTTTTCAACTCTGAACTGCTTTAATAACCCAAAATTCCCTCCAATCTGATGGCCAATCAAAACAACGGAAGACTCGCTATTCGCCCTGGAACAGAGCACGCCACTGCCTGCTGCTGGCCATTGTCGGATGTTGCCTCCGGTGTGTCAGGTTATCAAAAAGATAGCAAAAATCTTCACTGATCGCAATCGTTTGTCACTTCCCGTGTGTCGAGCCCATAAAGTGCCCATCTCATAACTGGGGGGGGGGGGGGGGGGGGATTCTCAGTGGAGGGTCTCAGTCGTTTTGTCCTTGGGCAAGACATTTAAGCCACCTTGCTTTCTGGTGAGGATCGAAGGTATTGGTGACGCCTGTGTTCGGCAGCCTCGCCTCCATCAGTGTGCTCCGTGGCAGCTGTGGCTGTAGTGTAGCTCATCACCACCAAGGTGTGAATGGATGAATGACTGGTTGTGTTGAAAAAGTGCCTTAGGGAGGTTGCAGAAATATTGTCTAATGTTTCTTAGTAAAAAAGAATAATTTTGCACTCCCAAATTTTCATGACTAGCTGCCTATTTAACTCAAATTGGAATGATTAGATAAATTAACACCATCCTGTAAAAAAGATGAAGTGAACAGAGTGATTAAGGTCATAAAATCACATTTTAAATGTTTCTGGAGCAAATAAATCCTGAAACACATTATATTCTGTTTCCAGCACATTTAAATGTCTTTAATTGGTCAACTTTATCAAACTGTAATAAAGAGTTAAACAAACCACTTTTTGTGATTGAAAAAAATGCTTTTTAAGGTTGGAAATGGAGCACATGTGCTTATAATTGTGCCAGGAAATTATAATTATACAATTATATGTTAATTGCAAAAAGACAGAAAGAGATGCGAGTTCAAAGAAATCTAAATGTAGAAATGCTAATATGCTACAAGCAGAATTGAATCGATCAGTAATCGAGTTGAGCTGTTAACTTGTGCAGCGAGTTACATTCAATGATTAAATGAGCTAAAAATAAACGGGTTTAAATACTTACAATATTCAAGTCTAACTATTTTTTTAAATGTGGTTTACTTGTTTAGTCAATGCATTTGCAGTGTTCTCTCGTGTAAATCGCCATCTTATGAGTCTTTACACAAAAATAAGCTATGATGCTCCTGCTGTGAGATGCAGATGTTTGCAGAGGTTGGATACAGACGGCAGGATTACTCATCGTTATTACTGATAGTCACACACCTCTTTTGTGATTGGCTAACAGTGACTTTGCAATATTGCTGAATGCGTTCCATCACCAAGACACTCTCCGCTCTCTCTCCTCTCTGCAAAAGAATTTTAAAAAGCCTTTCTGTGGGCAGGCATCTCGCCAAGATGTGCGAGGCCATGAATGCAAATCCACAGTGTGACATCACTGTGTGAGGATTTTCACATTCTAGCTTTCACAATCAATTTTCTATCAGGAGCTAAAGCATGAAAAACTCGAGTGACCGATTATAATCAGAAATAATCATTAAAAAATGGTTTTTCAGTCAACCACACCTTTAAAGGGAAACTATGCAGTTTTGGCTTGCTCTTCGCTCCTCCTAGAATCCGTTATTGATTCCCTGTTGAAAAGCAAAAAGGTAAACGTAGCTCTTCGCTGTGCTTTTGTCTTTTTAACACCTTCATCTAACTGCTAAAATGTCTCCTCAGCCTTTATTAGTGTCAAAATGAGCGATCTAAAACTTGCAGGAAACACGCTGGAAGGAGACTGCAGCGCCAGGCATGTCAGCTCCACTTTACTAAGGCCCTGTCCACACGTAGCCGGGGATCTGCCAAAACGTAGATATTTTTCTACGTTTTGGCCTGTCATCCACACGAAAACGGAGTTTTTTCACACGAAAACGGATCTTTTTAAAAACTCCGGCCAAAGTGAAGATCTGCGTTTTCTCCGTTTTGGGTGTCTGCGTGTGGACGGACATAACCGGAGTTTTAAGGTCCGCAACGTCACTTTCCGCGACAAAAAAATGCTGACATCACGTGTGCGACCTGTGTTTACACTAGCCGGCATCATGGAAGCCCTCAGAGCTGCGCTCTGTCACTACCCGATCCATCATTTGTCCAAGCGCTTTCTGCTTGTTTTTTTTGCAAGCGGAATTACTGCTCCTTGCGGAAGACCACAGACGAAGGACGAGGTTAAGAACGGGGGAAGTACTGCCGCCTACAGGTCTGGCATGTCCTTAACAACATATTTATCCGGGTACGTGTGGACAGAGTTTGTTTTTAAAACGCGGTGGTGTGGATGCAAGTTTTTGGAGGGGCGGATATTCGTTTTTAAAAAACCTCGGCTACGTGTGGACTAGGCCTAAGTCAAACAGGGGTAGCCACACTGAAGTTGCAAGTGCGTGACACCTCACTGTCTCTGTAAAGGGTCATTTTTGCACATACTGACTCAAGAAAATGATTTCAAAATATTATAAGTTGCAAAGTTTGTCTTTAACCCTTTGAGGGCAGGCGTTGCAGATTTGCAACGTTAAAACCTGCCTGGTGACTCCACATACGTATTTCTTGAGCATTTTTTAACTCAGAAGTACCCCTGAAGGACTTAGTTGTTCGTCCTTTTATCAAAACTTATTTTGAGCCTGAGAGGGTTAAACAACTCTGCATGTTTTTGCCCTGGCCACACTGATTTTACTAAATAACAACAGGAAGTGATGGAAGTGCATTCAATAATCTGAATTTATCTGGGCTTCCCTCTGTGGCAGGTGCTTTAAGTTTTAAAGAGCATCAGCATCATTGTTTCCCTTCGAGGAGCGGCTTCCAAAGGGCTCTCAGATTACATCGGTGGAGATGAGGTTTGGTGTTGATTTTGCCCTGAGACTTTAAATAATGATCGCAACGCAGTGTGGAGCCGGGTGGGAATAATAAACTCCCCTCGCTTTAAACCAATGCTGAATTGAGTTCGTTAGCTGGACTGACGTGGAGAGGATTTGATAAAGAAGGCAGGTCAAAGCATCAAAAGGACCTCCCAATCAAATCAGCCAATGCTGTTTATGTAAAGAGTGCTCAGGGATGAGTGCTGGCCCAAATGAATGAAAGCAGCGAGTCAAACGTCAGGGAGACATGGCTACCCTAGTTTGATGACATTAAAAGACAATTCAGCCCATCCACTGAAGCGTTAGTACACAGATTCCTGGCTACTTTTGATTTTGGAGTCTGCGAGCGTCTCTGCTTCCTCGCTGTGATTTAATTCATCGTGTATGTTTGAAAGCTTCTGCTTTTCGGAGGAATATGTGGGTTTGATGCGGCCATCCGTGACCAGCCTCAGCTCATTTTAAGAGTTTCCCAGCTTGTTAGGGCTCCTCATGAACACTCTTCACACTTCCCTTTCTTTGCGAGTGGTCTGTGGACTGTAAAGGTACTTTATAAATCAACTCGCAGGAATCATTTTGAAACTCACTTTTCTTTTACTCAATTAAGGAGAAAGCCCAGAAAAGGGCAGCGCTTGCCCTCCACTCCTCCTCTCCCCCCTCTGGTCTAATTCGTGCTAGTGTCTCCTTGGTCAACCTTCTTCCCCTCTACACACACACACACACATTCCCTTCTCACCCTTCTTCTCATGCTCGTGTCCCTGCACTCTGTATCCCCACAGCTCTCAAGGACAGCCGGTTCCAGCTGGTGAACTTCACTGACAACGAACTCTGGGTGTCTCTGTCCAATGTGTCGCTCTCCGATGAGGGACGCTACGTGTGCCAGCTCTACACAGATCCTCCTCAAGAAGCCTACGCAGACATCACTGTCCTGGGTAGGTGTGAGGACATGCACCAGATTCTCACACAGAAACACACACACACACACACACACACACACTGATCTGCTCTCCTTTAAAATGGTGAAATAATAGTAATCTTTGATCTTGTTATCTTACGCAACTGAAACAAAATGTCAGCCAATTAGGCTCTCGCGGTGCTCAGCAGCATAACGAAGAGGAGCAGATGCTGAAACTGGTGGCTCAGACCGTGTTGGTTTGGCAGCTGTGTTGACTCTGTGAATCCCGGTGAATGTTGACTTGGCTGCTCCCGACGATTCCCCATTGAGAGTCAGCTGTGCCACACTTTGATGCTTTGGAGAGAAATGACTTTAGTTAAGCTTTATTATACATGCAGACATCCTGGGGGATTGAAAAGGAATTAAAAGCACTTTAAAGTAATTACTCCAGTTGTACGATTGAAACCTCGCTGCAGTATTTCTGAATCAGGGGTTGCAATGAAGAGTTCTTGAAATGAGCACTCCAGCGACTTTTTGCTCTTTAAGTAACCGAAGTTCAGCAGTTTTTTTTTTTTTTTTGCTGTGATGTCTAACACAAGGAATTATGGAGAGATATGCTTCCAACCCCGTGAGTATAGATTACAAACCTTTTGACTCTAGCATAACATTTGGGGTGGGGAGTGCTAAATGATTTATTATCAATAAAAGCAAACACTTTGGATTGAGGAAAAGACGAATGATGGCAGAGTTTTGTGATCCGCTGTCTTTCAGTCCACCTCACAAGATCAAGGTAAAATGTTACCTGAAAATATATGGAACTCCAAAGTGTTCAGAGTGAAGTAAATAAATAAATAAATAATACATAATTAAAGAAATATCTACACGAATAAATACTAGACAATGAAATTGTGAAATAACAGAATGTGTAAAAATCTAAACTCAATATTTATCATCTTTCTATTAAAATGTTCCTATTAATACAAATTTTTATTTCAGAAGTAATTTTTGCTAATTATTATGGAGGTGTTTTCATTACATAACGTCATTTTCACAAAGTCAGCTTTGACTTCATAATAGTTTTTTTTTCTATGGCTGATTTAATTTATAATGGCACTTTTCAGCAGAATATCCTAGTCTGTCAATCAAGACAAATGGGGTGGAGCCTTGTGACCGGCTTCTCATTTGGTCAGACAAAAGCAATCGCACATGAAGTATCAAATGAAGCCTGAAGATACAATACATACTTGTCACGTTGCGAGTCAGGAGGAGGTTTGGACCCAAAATGCAGACACCCAGAACGACATGAGGCAGGAGCGGATGTAAATGAAAACATTCCTTTATTAGGAAGTAGAACAAAAAAATTCCAAAGGGCAGGAAGCCAAAAACCAATGGCCTGAAACCCAGGAGAACGAAAGCTCACATAGAAAACAAAACCTAGAGACGAGGAACAAAACAACGCTGACACCAAACAATGGACCGACAAAAGATTGAGACACAGACAGGGCTTTATACACTGGGGAGGATGAGAGGGAGATGACCTGCAGGTGTGTGGGGAGAGAGACCAGGTTAACTGAGTTACTAATCAGGGAGGAAAACTAACATGACCTAAGAATAAAACCTAAAGACAAGAAGAGCAGGAAACATAACTTAATAATCTAAGGGGGGAGAAAACCTCAAACACCGATGGGAAGAACACACTAGAGAGACTAATAACATCAAAAGCTGTAGCTAAAGAAAAATGACCTAAGAGAAAAACCTAAAGACCAGAAGGCCAAAAAACATAATATTCTAAGGGGGGGGGGAGCTGAAACTAAAGGAAAAACACTACAGAAAGAAAAGCTACAGGGGCGTGACTACAGGGGGCCACGGGAGCACAAGAACTGGGATGGGGGTATCTGAGGAGGGAAACCTAGAGGGCAGAAGATCTGGGGAAAAATGGAGAACACCAGGAGACACATGAGGAAGATGCAGAACAAGGACACATGTGGGCGCTAGAGACACAAAAGGAGAACCTAGAGAGGGATGGAGAACACAAGGAGACACATGAGGGGAGACGCAGACGCAGACCATGACAATACTGCTATGTACAAATTAGCAAAATGTCTAATTTGTGTCCAGTGAGCCAATATTTAGGAAAACTAAACCATTTTTAAAGATTAGTTCTGCAGGTCACACCCACTGTCCTGACTGACATACTAAGACAGGAGGAGTAAGAAACCCTGGTTCTACAGAGTAACTGTGCAGCATGTTTTAATTGTTTCCTTGCTTCAACACAGTTTATTTGCCTGTTCAGCAGCTCATCAATCTCTACAGAAGCATGTTAATCACCTGCCGATTAAAACTAGGTGTGCTGAAGCAGAGAAACCTCTAAAACATGCTAAATAGTGGCTCTCTAGGACCAGCGTTGCACAGCCCTGGACTAAGACATTCTGCTGAAGAGTGTCATCATAAAACAAATCGTCCATCTGAAAAATACCTATTTATGAAATCAAAGCTGACTTTGTGAAAAGGACGTAATCAAAATAGAAAGAATTCAATAAAAGTGCCTTACTGGGGAAAATGAGCTAAGTCCAATATTTCTAAGCACTTTGTAATAAAATTATGTAAAATGTTTGATAAATTTGAGTTTACATAACACTTTTTTATTTCACAATTTTATTGTCAGATTATAGAATGGTCTCATATTTATTCATGTCAATAAACACATTTCATAGTGTAATATTTTTTTCTATTTAATTTTGAACAAATTGGAGTTCCATAAGTCCACAAACCGGCGATATGGCCTAAAATCAATATCACAATATATTTTGGATTTCACCTCGATAACGATAAATAGACGATGACTACAGGTATGCACAGAAACAAAAGTTGTCCACTAGATGGGGCTGTCGTCACGTTGAGTCACATTTTTTAGTGACTAAGGTGGTGGAGCTTCTTAAAGGGACATGAATGTTACACACATCATTTCATTGTTTTTATTATCAGATTTGTTGACATGAGATAAATTATCTCGATAAGAGTCAGAAATGTTGATAACGATACATTTTCGATTTATTGCCCAGCCCTCCCTAAGTGTTTGTAAAAGAACACACCTCTGAGAAGATATTTCATTATGAATCACAGTGAATCTGCCATGTTGACACATTTGCAAATAGATTTTAAGATGTCACAAAACCCTAACCCTAACGCTCAACTGTTGATCAAAGGCACTTGTCAGATTTTTTTCCCCAAACTATCCTGGTTATGTTTTATTTGTTCAGTTTATCCTAATATTGTTTGCAATTTGTTAACCACTAATCCAGGTTTACACCAGATGCGTAAGCATCACGTAATACGCAATTTTTTTTAGCACAAATAAAAACTCCCACAATTCAGCATCTTCTTATGGAAAAGTGTCACATTGACGGACTTTAATGTGTCGGATGCAAACTTTTTTTTCCTGTTTTCTCCAATCACTCTTTTTAAACTAAGGTTTCAGTTCCTTCTGCTCCAATGTGTTGGAATAATTCATCTAATCTAATCTCAGTCCCTTAAGCAGAGCAGCTTTGCTTTTCAGGAGCTCGTTGTGTCTTTTAAACACGCAAACAAAGCATTTTGTTGTGTTAAAACTATGGCAGAGGCTGCTTGTGTAGGCACCAGAATGGCAGCAAAGATGTCGCTTGGGTTGAATTTTTTTTTCCTTCTAAATCTTAAATGTTTTCTTTGTTAACAGGCCAATAAAATTATGATAACATGTGCAGCACTTAGCAGCTAAAGAGACAAAGAGAAAATCACCCCCAGGAGTTGGAGGAATATTCGCCTTGGAGCAAACGCCGTTTGTAAAGCAACAGGAATGTTAGAAAAACTTTTAGAACATTATAAATGCCTTCAAATCCATTCATAATGTCTTCATGAGTGAAACAAACTTGCTTTTAACTGTACAAGGAATCTAATTAATGGTGAAATAATAATAATAACTCAACCGTATATTAGTAATTGTCTTTTCATTCAGTTTAATCAAAAGACTGTAATGATTTAAATTACATGTATTTAATAAGCCTTAAGACATAGGAAATATGAAATCAACCTCATGGATCTGTTGGATACTGTTTAACCAGAAGATTGGAATTTTTTAATGCAGAGATTAGATAACAGCTTCGTATTCACTCAGAGACAACAAAAGAGAGAGAGTCAAGTTTAAAGGTTTAAAGATTTATTAAAAACAAATTAAACTAGACTAACTTTAAACACTAAATGTATGGTGTAACTAAGGTGAATGAGACGGAGAATGGTGTAGTGTGGAATGTTGCTCAGAACCAGCAAATCCGAAGAAACGATTAGTTCTGATGGGAAATGATGGTGATGTCTTCGCGCTAAGCTTTGGTTAGGAGATTTATAAACACATTCGACGCTATTCTGTCGGCCTACATACCCTTAGCGGAAGTCCCCGTTAGATCAGGAGGTGTAAAGGTCCAGCTTGACCTTGTGGAGCCGAAGCCTGTAGAAGCAGCCGACCACCCGTCTTGAGATGCTCCCGGGTCACGACAGTTTTGTTGGCATCTAGTGAGACCCAAACCTGGGTCTTGATGGTTCAGCTTTTATTCTGAAAGGAACCGTTGCAGCTGTTGGAACAGCAACAGATTTTATCCAGCTCGTCGTTGGTTCTTTTGGCTGAAAAGGAAAGTTACGGATTGGCCACTCCAACAACTTCTTTGAACTGGCGTTAAAGATGACGTGGGCATAGTTTATGGTCGAATGAAAAGATGACAGATTTACCAAACACCACCAAAACCACGTCTCCGTCAGGTCTGGCAGATTCTGATTGGATCAGTTAAGCAATGTGTCATGTCTTTTAACTCTACGTGAGATCAGTCCTATTGGAACATTTAAAGTCATATTACTCATTATATTCTATAGGATTATAATAAAGTAATTAATATTTTGATTTCACAGATTGGTCACATCTTATTGTTGACTAACACCTTGCGTGATTAGCTTTATTAAAAATAGAATTCTTTGATTTATTAAAAGGAGAGAGTCCTTTCTTCATTCTTCTGTTGAGCTGGAAAGAAGCAGTTTATAACAAATGCATGAGACCTTGAGGCCATATCCCATGCAGACTAGTCCTGTGTCAGAGGAGAGGGGGGCAAATGACTTTTGGTGGAAAACAGTCATTTCATACCGTTACAAGACTGATTGGAAATTGGCTCACAGTTACTGGAAGGGTTTAATTAAAAGTATTAGTCAGCAGAGGAAACATCTGTAATGTCGGCTCGGCCATGTTTAACCATACAAACACAGATGTGTGGCTTCTTACGTTTTTTTAACTCTTCACTCTTTTTTAAAATCTTCATATAAAATCTTGACAGATTTAGAAAAGTGTCTTTCTCCTAGCGTTTGTAGATAGAATGTTAACAGAGGTGTTTTTATTTGCTGAAGAAGAAAAATGCAGCATTGTCATTGAGTTTGATTTTAATTGTAGCCCATCTGGAAAACTCTAACGAACTTCATTTGATTCCAGGAAATCGTTAAAGTGATTTTCTGATTACAGCACCGACCTATCCAGGTCACACTAATTACAGCAAAAGTTATTGTTTTGTTCTTTTTATTATTATTTATTTGGCTGAAAGAAAATTCAGTAAATGTTGACAGGTTCGATGACCCGTGTCCACAGGGCAACGCCATGTTTACCCTCCCAATTTGCCCCCAAACACAACTGTTGGCAGCGTGGACAGCAGAACATGCCGACGATGTTCAGCAGAGAACAACAGTGGGACAAATATTACACAAATATAGTGCGCTGAGTCTAAAGCAGCATGATAATCAGCGTGTTCACTAAAGGGCGTGACATCATTATTTAGTTAAAGCCTCAGAGCTGCCATCGCGGTCTTATTGAGGTTATTAGCAAAGACTTTCTAAAAGCAGAAAAGTAAAAGAAATCATGATTTAGTTAAAAATTGAGCCGGATGCAAAGATTTGTTCCCCTAAATCAGTTTTATCTTTACATACTAACAGAATTAAAAATTTATTGAAAAGGTCTTGAAAACTGGTAGTTATGCGCTTTGGGGGTTACGGTTGTTTTTCACTAGTGAAAGTTTTAAGATGGCTTTTGGCCTGCCAAGCCATCCTATAAATCTGAATAAATATATAATGATAGACAGAGCGCTCTGATTGGCCACAAGTTTGTGTGGACTTGCTGAGGCTCCTATGGAGCACGGCTAGACCGGCATGAAAAGCAAAATCATTTCGCTTCAGCTACCGTCTGTCTAGACTTCTAGGAAAATAAATGGTTACTTTCCTCCATCCTTTTGATACCTTCCTGAATGGCCTCTGTTGTGAGAAATAGCTATTTAGGTCCGCATAATGACTAGTCTGAGCATAACCAATCCCAAAGAGGACTTCACATAAATATTATGTCTACAGAAATGTTAAGACATTCACTGCCATGCTTGACCTCTAGTTGAACCTATGTGTTCTGTTTTGATGCTGGTGGTGACATTTACGATTGTAAATAACCAGCACATTTGCTGGACGTGACTATTAAATGAAAATAGTGAAAAGCTGTGAAACTGTGGAGATCGGAGTTGTTAAAAATCAGAGAAAAAACGCTTTTCTCTTGGCTGTGGTTGAATTAGCTGTTAGCTCCTTTTGCTAGCTTCCATTTCCCACACACCCCTTAGTACATTATTTGTTAAATAGCTGCAACTTAACTGTAAGCAAAACAGTTTACAACATTTTGCAACATGTTAAGGCATGTGGCACCGCCCTCTACTCTAGGGAAACTCGCTTCAAGAATAGAAGAGACGTAAGGCTAACAGTGAAAATAGATCATTTTATGAGGACTGGGCTGATAAGTATGTACACATACAAAATGCTGAGGGGCTACCCATGTGCAATGTCTGTCACGTCTTTTGATCAGTAGATAGAGAGTGCTATGTGTGATGACGAGTCACGCCCACTTTGATCATGAAAATTCATCAGACTCGACAGACAAAAATAACGACACGGACTCTAAACTTCCAGCAATTTTGTGTGATTTTCACTTGGAAAGCTGCGACATCTCTCCGAAGTGCATGCATACTGACTAAAGCGAAAATACAGTGGTGCAATACAAGAGATGGAGTGCAGGGAGAAAGCCTTATGACAATTTGGCCCAACAAAAAATCTGTTTGAATGTTCTCCTGACTGGGCCTGTGCAGGAAGTGACATGCAGCATCCGTCCAAAATAATCAAAAAGAGTTTAAACAAGTTGTTTTGTTGCAAACGGCGCTTCAGTAAGGGCATCATTTGGTGGCACCTTTCAATCTTAAGAGTGTGAAAAAGAGTGTGAAACAATGATTTGCACCTCAAATGAGTGTTTTTATATAAAACAGGTGTCTGAGAGTGTGAGTGTTGCCATGCCGGTGTCTTTCTGAGTGTTGTTGTTGCCGCCTGTCAGTCCCGCCAGGGAGCCCAGTCATCGAGAGCCGGGAGGATGTGGTCAGCGAGGGGAACGAGACGGAGCTCACCTGCATCGCCATGGGCAGCAAGCCAGCCGCTTCCATCAGATGGATGAAGGGGGAGGAAGAACTGACAGGTTGGTAGAATAACAGCCTCCCTCAGTTAGCTTCACATGCTCCAGGCCTGTCTGCCTCCCCACCGGTCCTGGTCTCCGGAGGCTCTTCCTCTGCAAACAGAACGGAGTTCTGCTTTAAATGTGCATTGTACTGATTATGTTGACTGGCATATGTACATATGAAGCTACTCCTCTACCTGTCACACACAGCTGAAGGAGCATCGTGCTTTTCCTCTTTTCCCATTCCATGCATAAAAACAGCTCTCCTGTTATTAACTCTGCTGTTTGCTCAAATCATTCACCGCAAAGGCCGCAGTTCAGACTTCAACGTTACGTCTCGTGAATTTAGCCGCGACGCTGCTCCCCCGCGCTGTAATCTTCATTTTGGGAGAGCGATGTTTGGACGTTAAATTGCTTAAATATTTACAGTGAACATTTAGTTACACCTCGACTCCTGATGGGATGTGTGTTTCAGAAGTAGTCGACTAAATCTTCTCTGTTTGCTTCAAACCCTATGTCCGTTGTAAACACGGTTAGGAGCTCTTCTTTGCACATTTTATCTTCATTTTGGTGCCTTCAGCTGCCTGTGGGCTCTCGCCAGAAAGCGGTATATAATCTTCACTGTAGAAAACAAATCTTATTACCTCTCGGTTGCGATTTGGTGCCATCAATTATTCATCATGTACTGATTGTACAACGACTGGGAGATTCATTGTAGTCACATTGTATTTACACAGTCTGAAAGTCTCTGAGCTTGTTGTCAAATTATATATGTATTAGAATGGAGAGGATACATTTGGCTTGTTGAGAGATGAAATATTTAGACAAGAGCAAATCTGAAGCTAAATGCCATCTGTGCCTCCAGTGTTCCCTACAGGAGTCAAAGTCAATTTCTGCTTATGAGTTGTGGTGTTGTGTTGGGGAGCGAGAGACAACAGGATGGTTAGATCAGCGAAATGCCACCGACATGCTGAGCAGGGCTAATCCATAGTGGCAGTGGATACATAAAGCCAGCCAGAAAAGTCACGTCCTCTCGTACCCCAGGAAACGCAAATCACTTCTTATTACGGACGTGCTAAACAGTTCATTTGCCACCGCGCACACTGAGATTCAAAGACGCCGCGTCACGCCGGCCGTAAAGGACCTCTCTGATCGGGTTTTGTCGTGTGACTGTGTGCAAAGGAGGCGGTTTCAATGCCAGTAAGGAGATTAGAAACGAAATTTTAACTCAAATGGGCAGAAAGAGATTTTTTTTTCTACTATTTATCATGCTGGCAGGAACCGAACGGATGGACTTTGGCCTGAAAGGGACTCGGCACATCAGGTGGCAAAATGCTTATTAGCATAAATGAGAGCTGGAATATTATTCAAATGAGGCAGAGACCAGTGCTCAGCTGCTGCTATTCCTAAAATACAGGCAGTTTGGCTCTATCAGACAGGTTCAACAGGAGATTCAGTAATATTTAAAGAAAAAATTACCTTGTTCCTTTTGAAAAAGAGCCAAACTACTAACAACCAGCTGTATATTTAGTGAAAAATCCTTTTAATAATCAAAACTCACCAGATAATTAAGCTGCACTTCCTTTTTAATTGAGTTGTTGTCCTTCAGAAGAAACGTTCCTAACTCAAGGTCACACTGTTCCCCACTTTTTAAACAAACTCCACTTACAGAAGAATTACCGTCAAAGGCTGGAATAAAGAAGGTGAGTGGAAGGGAATTTGTGAATAACTTCTTTTGTAACATTTAAACACCGAAGCTTTCTCCCAGTCTGTTTTGAATTCCCAACGACGAGCCCAAAAAGCCTCTGCACTCTGCACAGAAACGTGTGACGTTGCACAAATACACAGGTGGGCTCAGTACTAGTTAACCTGAGACTCCTGTTAGGTGTTTCAGTGAGGTAAACAGGAAAGTGACCCAGTGTGCTCCAGCAGTGAATCATTGATGCACAAAGAGATGATGTGTGAAGGAACCGGATGCAAGGATTCAGCCAACAGAGTTCAGCAGAGGGTGAAATATCATTGCAGGAATAACAGAACAGTTGTTGTGGCACGACTTCAGACTGACTCGACTGGACTAGGCCCGACTCGGCTTGACTTGACTCTACGTGACCCATCTTAACTTGACATCACAACTCTGCTCCATTTGATCCAGCTTGACTTGACTTGACTTGACTCAGCTTGAATTGACTCAACTCCACTTCTCTTGACTTGATTCGGATTGACTCGAGTCAACTTGACTTAACACAGCTTAACTTGACTCAACTTCACTCAACCTGAATAGACTCGGGTTGACTTGACTCCACTCAACATGACCTGACTTGATTCAACTTGAAATGACTCAGCTCGACGTGACTCAACTTCTCCTCACTTGACCTACCCCAGATTGACTCGAGTCAACTTGGCTTCACTCAGGTTGAATTGACTGCTCTCCACTCCACACCACTCAACATGACTTGACTCAACCTGAATTGTTGAGCTCAACTTGACTCAACTCCTCCCTACTTGACTTGACTCCACTCCACTCAACTTGGCTTGGCTAGATATGAATCAGAACCAAAGCAGGGTTACGGAATGTTGATGATCTGTTCCAAGCACTGAGATCATGACAGGCTGGTGGATTTTAGGCATAGAAAACATTGACTCACCAGGATGTGACACCGCTTTTCCAAGTCTGAGGCCAGAACAAGGAGGAATGCTACCTCCAGGTTGCAGAGTGAGTTTGGCCAGGCTCAGCTCTACAAGTTTGTGATTGGAACCAAGCTGCTACAGCTACTCATCAAAAGAAGTCCACTGAGGTGATCTTATTAGAATACCTTCTAGTCACTTCCTCCCAGAGATTTTATGGCCACGGCCCACCAGAAGGAGACCCAGAACTCGCTGGAGTGATTATGCATCCCCTCTGACCTGCAGATTCTCTGGATTCCCCCTGGAGGAGTTGGTAGAGGAATATGTCTGAGTTTCCCTGCTGAGTCTGTTACCACAGAAACCCAGCTTGGAAGGAAAACGATGGTTAGAGAACTTGTGGTACTTTATGGCTATGTGCTAACAGGAGTGCTTGTAATCTCAAAAACTTCTCAGTGAAGAGGCAGAGAATTTGGCTAATGGTCTTAAAGCTGCAAAACCAGCCCCTTCCTGCTTGAGTCAACAGGCCCACTAGCTGCATTTAACCATCTCATGATCCCACTTGTTACTTTCTCCTCGCTTTAATTCAAAGACACACTTTTCTATTTTAATAATTGAATTTAACGTCTCTATTAAACTGATTTTAGCTCGCCTCACTAGTTCCGGAGCAGCGCAGGCCTAAGCCATCTCGAAACAGCTTGATCGTTGACGGCTCAGCAGCGCGTTGGCAGGCAGACGACTCGGGTTAGACGCTGAGTGAAAGAAAATGTCACCCTGAGAAGAGGCCATGCTTGATTGCACTGGGATTGATCAGTGCTTGATGCTCACAAGAGCGTTTGATTTGACATCTCTGCTGCAACCCTAAAATCTCCTTCGCATTCAGATTGGAGTCCTTCTGCGACCCGATCAGCAGACGTCTTCCTCGTCTTCGTTCGGATGACACCGATAATTGACAAGCGCTGGAGGGCTTGAGGATTGCACGTGGCTCCTTGTCCGTGATCTCTAAAACAAGACGTTCTGAAGTTCATCTTTTGCTTTTTGGGCTGAATTAAAAATAGTTATTACTGCAAGTTAAAGTAAGCTTTTACTGACCCAGATAATACTCTATCATCGCTACACCCTTCATGCCACACCTGGTTTGATTTCTTTTTGGGACAAATTGCCAGACCACTGGCAGGTTTGCTTCGTTCTTGTGATTTCACAGTGACAAGTAAACACCTAATGCCAAATTTATGGCTTATTGCCTCAACTTGTTTGGATAGAACGAGTTAAAAACTGCTCGCGGCACTCTTCTGTAACCAAAGTGAGGAGCTTATTCACTGCTGTTGTCACGCTTGTCAGAGTGAAGCCACATCACCAACATTTGCTCTAAATGCGGCTCACTGAGATGTGCAACGTACGGTTTTAGGAGTTCAGCACACGGTGCACATTCTGCGATATTTCCGAACATAAAAACCCTGATGATGTGTTTCCTTTTTTTTAAAGGAAGACAATCATTTATTATTACCAGATTTCTAAGTGTGCTTTTCAACAGCTTGTTCCCTCACTGCAGAGTCATCAAATTTAATGCCTACAAGTGTGAGGACCACTTACCGATCCCAGCGCTTTAAACCTGATGCAGCCAAGAGTTTCATGGGCGGGCGTATGTTACACGAGGTTAATACCCATCAAGGGGCCAGGCATGTGTGTGTCGGTGATCATCAACTGTGGAACAACGTGTTCCTGCTCTCCCTGAGTCCGGCTGGGTTCCCCTGTGACTAGGCTGAAATGGAAGTGTGCTGCAGGTCAGCGTCGGGCTGTAATTATTTCCTCACTTCATTAAGTGCGAGTAAACCATCACACTCAGCGCTGCAGCTAATGCGATGCCCCTCTGGCATTGTAATGCTCTCTAAATGAATGCCCCTCTGACAGCCTTGAGCCTAGTGGGCAGCAGATTACTGCAGGGTTAGCCCCAACAATGCTCGAGCCTCGAGCAGCAGAAGCATTCATTATCGGGCTTGATATGACCCAGCCTGCTCTCGTCAGAATCGAAGGCCTCGGGCTCGTGTGAATCCTCTAAAGTCTCGTTCGGGCACCACATCAGTGAATCATAAATTAAATGTAAATGCCATCTGAAAGTACTTCACTTTGACAGGTAATATGCTCTTATAACCTATGACTATTTGCCCGTTGCGGCCGCTGCAGCAGGTGCTGCTGAAGAATTTAGAGTTCTGAGCTTAGCTCGGCCATTAACTTTACTTCCTTCTTTTATTTATTTGTTTTTATTTTTAGGTGAGACAACCGCTGAGGAGATGTACGACAGGATGTTTACCGTCACCAGCCGGGTGAGGTTTTCTGTCACCAAAGAGGATGATGGAGTGCCAGTCGACTGCATCATTGACCACCCAGCTGCAAAGGACCTTCTGGCTCAAAGACACTTGGAAGTTCTCTGTGAGTGAACAAGAACTGGATGGTTCCTGGGTTATAACCAAGACCTAGTAGAGAGTGTTGCACCTCATTTACACTGAGTACGGAATGGATGCGGTCCGGATTCTGGACCGCTTCCAGCCGGACAGCCACTATCAACGACCGTGGATCGTGTGCTGAATGTCTGCGGAAATTTGCTCTGACGGTGATCAGAAATTTGACATATTACGTTTAAAGATACAGTTGTAAAAATAATATGAACTAGCATTCACAATAAACTGATACCACTGTCATTAATAATAATATTAATAAATTGTCAGGGGGAAAAAATCCAACACAGGTTTTATTTTGAAATACATTGGGATGCGCCTGGTTGAAACAGGTCTCACTTCCTGTTTAGTTCATATTATTTCTGGAACTTCATGAAAATCCACATGTGGTGTTAAGAAAACAATAGAGTCCATGCTGACACTTTCCAGAGCTCCGCATCCAGATCCACGCCACATCTGGTGTGAATGTTCCTAAAAGAGGTCGAACGAGTTGTCCAGCAATCAAAAGGTTGTAGGTTCAATCCTGCTAGAGAATGCTGTCCGTGGGCAAGACACTTAACCCACCGTGCCTGCTGGTAGTGGTCGGAGGGACCGGTGGCGCCAGTGCTTGGCAGCCTCGGCTCTGTCATTGCGCCCCGGGGCAGCTGTGGCTGCATCTTAGCTAATCCCCACCAGCGTGTGAATGGGTGAATGACCATGTTGTGAAGCGCCTTGGGGGGCTGTAGAACCCTAAGAAGGCGCTATACAAATACAGGTCATTTAAGGCCCTGTCCACACGTAGCCGGGGATCTGCCAAAACGTAGATATTGTTCTACGTTTTGGCCTGTCATCCACACGAAAACAGAGTTTTTTCACACGAAAACGGATCTTTTTAAAAACTCCGGCCAAAGTGAAGATCTGCGTTTTCTCCGTTTTGGGTGTCTGCGTGTGGACAGACAAAACCGGAGTTTTAAGGGCCGCAACGTCACTTTCCGCGACAAAAACATGCTGACATCACGTGTGCGACCTGTGTTTACACTAGCCGACAGCATGGATGCCCTCAGAGCTGCGCTCGCTTTATCAGTTGTCCAAGCGCTTTTTGCTTGTTTGTTTTTGCAAGCGGAATTACTGCTCCTTGCGGAAGACCACAGATGAAGGACGAGGCTAAGAACGGGGGAAGTACTGCCGCCTACAGGTCTGGCATGTCCTTAACAACGTATTTATCTGGGTACGTGTGGACAGAGTTTTTTTTTTTAAACGAGGTGATGTGGATGCAAGTTTTTGGAGGGGCGGATATTCGTTTTAAAAAAAAAACCGACTACGTGTGGACTAGGCCTAAGAAGGGGTAGATGCACTGATTTTACTATAATGAAAATAATAATGAATATTTTTCTGGCAGAAAAAGGAAGTCGACAGCCTCCACAGCAACACAGCAGACATGTCTGTTGATTTTCATGAGAACATTTGTTCCCCTTGGAACGCAGCACAAATACGTCTCAAGAGTGTTGGTCTGCGATTGTCCGTTTGTCCACTCACTCTACCGCTACTTTTGCTTCACAGAAGATTCACAAGGGGATAAAAGCACACAGCTGTTATTGTTGCAGCAGAACAGTACTTTCTAATTATTGGATATTCCTAATGTTTTCCTTTTCAACACGTAAGCATCTGCACCACTGTGGATATTTTTAGACTGTCTCACTGAGACTGATTTCCCCACATTAATAAAAAAAAGTTTAAAAAAGTGACGTGAATTGCAGCTGCAGCTCTGTTAATGTATGCAAATCTCCAACTGTGTTAATTATGAATTAATCTCTCATTCAAACCAAACAAATACAGAAAACAATGTAATAATGCAGCAGTAGTCGGCAGCTCCACAAATAAATCTTCATATCTGCAGTTTAGACTGAGCCACCACAGCTCCAAAAGTGATTCCAGCAATTGTTTTGTTTGCTGTAATATGACCAATGTATGCCTTTGGGAAAAAGGAAAGAACTTATGCAATATGTTTAATATCTAAGCTTTTTACATTCAGTCCAAGAATATTGAAAAACCTTCTGCCAAAATTGCATTTTCACTCCCCAATCTGAACTGACCTAACAGTAAGAAAAATGATGTTGTCACGACGTGCGCGGAGTGGAGCGGAGGAAAGGCGTGGATCCAGACCGGGGAGGAAACAGGCAGGCAGGTAGGTAGGTAGGATATCTTAACATGGGTTTATTAAGCACGCTGACACTGGAACAATGACACCACAAGGAACACAGAACAGCAGGGGTTTAAATACATGAGGAACAGGAGCTATGGTGATTGGGAAACAAGAGGCAGGTGGGAGCAATTAACGGAGACACAGACTACAACCTAGGAGAAGACAGGACAGGGTGTGACAGTACCCCCCCCCCTCAAAGGGCGGATCCCAGACGCCCACAGGAACCAGGAGCAGGGCGGGGGGAGGGGGACCCGGATGGAGGGCCCAGAGGACGATGGAGAGGCGGCAGGGAACGGCAGAGTCCGGGTGCCGGCGCCTGAGGCAGATGAGGCGACGGGCCCTTGGAGGCCGGCGCCTGCGGCAGATGAGGAGGCGACGGGCCCTTGGAGGCCGGCGCCTGCGGCAGATGAGGAGGCGACGGGCCCTTGGAGGCCGGCGCCTGCGGCAGATGAGGAGACGACGGGCCCTTGGAGGCCGGCGCCTGCGGCAGATGAGGAGGCGACGGGCCCTTGGAGGCCGGCGCCTGCGGCAGATGAGGAGGCGACGGGCCCTTGGAGGCCGGCGCCTGCGGCAGAAGAGGAGGCGACGGGCCTCTGGAGGCCGGCGCCTGCGGCAGAGGAGGAGCTCTGCAGGCTGGGCCGGCGACAAAGTCACTGCAGGCTGGGCCGGCGTTGCCCTCAAAACCACCATCGGAACTGGAGACCGTGGAGATGCCGGGCTGGACGGAGCGTCGGCCTCTTGAGTGCAAAGAGCATCCCCAGACGAGACAGCGACGTCATCAGAAGAGGAGGCGACGTCATCGGACGAGGCGGCGGCGACGTCATCGGACGAGGCGACGTCATCGGACGAGGCGGCGGCGACGTCATCGGACGAGGCGACGTCATCGGACGAGGCGGCGGTGACGTCATCGGACGAGGCGACGTCATCGGACGAGGCGGCGGCTACGTCACCGTCGAGATCGGACGGGGCGTCATCGGACGAGGCGACGTCATCAGACGGGGCGTCATCAGACGAGGCGACGTCATCGGACGGGGCGTCATCAGACGAGGAGGCGACGTCATCGGACGGGACGTCATCAGAAGAGGAGGCGACGTCATCGGACGGGACGTCATCAGAAGAGGAGGCGACGTCATCGGACGGGACGTCATCAGAAGAGGAGGCGACGTCATCGGACGGGACGTCATCAGAAGAGGGGGGGACGTCATCGGACGGGACGTCATCAGAAGAGGAGGCGACGTCATCGGACGGGACGTCATCAGAAGAGTGGGCGACGTCATCGGACGGGACGTCATCAGAAGAGGGGGCGACGTCATCGGACGGGACGTCATCAGAAGAGGGGGCGACGTCATCGGACGGGACGTCATCAGAAGAGGGGGCGACGTCATCGGACGGGACGTCATCAGAAGAGGAGGCGATGTCATCGGACACGTCGTCATCAGGGGCGACGACTTCGGACACGTCGTCATCAGGGGCGACGACTTCGGACACGTCGTCATCAGGGGCGACGACTTCGGACACGTCGTCATCAGGGGCGACCACTTCGGACACGTCGTCATCAGGGGCGACGACTTCGGACACGTCGTCATCAGGGGCGACGACTTCGGAACAGGAAGGGGCGTCGACCACCATCGACTTCGGGTCCAGGGGCGTCGACTTCTGGTCCTTCGATTTTCGGACCGTCGACCTCTGGACCGCTGGCCTCTGGACCGGAACCGGAACCGTCTGCTTCTGGCCCGGAGGAGTCGGCTTCTGGTCCCTCGACTTCTGGACCGCCGAGTTTTGGACCGGATCCGGCTCCATCTGCTTCCGGGTCGGTACCCTCCGTCTCTCGGCCCGCTCCGTCGGCTTATGGGCCGGTGACGTCTGCTTCTGGGCCGGTGGCAGAGCCGCTGCTAGGAGGGCTTGGAGCGTTGAGGAGAGGTGGGAGGTCAGCTCGTCCAGCTGTAGCTCCCTGAGGCTGAGCGTCCAATGGAGCTGGGCCAGTTCAGCCCGCTGACCGGCGAGCTCCGCTGGGGGAACCCCGCGCTCGCTCCTCTGGCCCTGGGACGAGGAGGATAGGGCGTCCAGGTGAGACTCCTTGCGGCTGAGGAGCTCGCGGAACCGGCCGAGCTCCGCCCGTTGCTCCATCAGCCGGGCCGCGATTGCTGCTCCTTCCTCTGCAACCGACGGGGGCTCCAGTTCGGCAGGAGACGGGACTGGTGGTCTGGGCGGGTGCGTGTCCGAACTGCCGCGCCGGGCACGGCCAGCGGCGGGCTCGAAGCTCCGTCCAGAAGCGCTGGGCTGTGGTGGCTTCCGGCGTCTCTCCCCACGCCGTGGACCGACTCCGGGGGAACAGATCGCCAGCCTCGTGCCCTCATAGCTGGAGCGATCTGGCAGTGGCTCCCGATCCAAACATGCCTCCGGTTCCGGGAGGACAGGGAGGAACGCTGCGGCCGAAGGTCGGCGACGCCAGCGGCGGCGAGGCGGAGCTGGGGCAGAAGGAGATGGAGAAGCTGGCCGGTGGTCGGACGTGAGCCACTGGAGCAGGTTCTCCCAGGGCAGAATCTCCCGGCTGGATCCATCAACGGGTTCGGGTGGTGTCATTCTGTCACGACGTGCGCGGAGTGGAGCGGAGGAAAGGCGTGGATCCAGACCGGGGAGGAGACAGACAGACAGACAGACAGACAGACAGACAGACAGGCAGGCAGGCAGGCGGGCAGGCAGGCGGGCAGGCGGGCGGGCGGGCGGGCGGGTGGGCGGGCGGGCAGGCAGGCAGGCAGGCAATCTTAACATGGGTTTATTAAGCACGCTGACACTGGAACAATGACACCACAAGGAACACAGAACAGCAGGGGTTTAAATACATGAGGAACAGGAGCTATGGTGATTGGGAAACAAGAGGCAGGTGGGAGCAATTAACGGAGACACAGACTACAACCTAGGAGAAGACAGGACAGGGTGTGACAGATGTTTAGTTTTAAACCTTCACAAATTTGACAAAGTTAATGGAGCCTTTCTTTCATCTGGAACCTAAAATAATGTCAGGTCTAAAGTTATTTACACATTCATCATAATGAATTCACCATAGTGATTTCAACTTTAACCTGTAGTTTTAAAGGTAAAGCCACATGAAATGTTTCAAATATGTTCAATGACATGTCCTGGAAAAAAAGTATGTTTAAGAAAAAGTGGAAATATTAAAACCCAAAATCTTGAGGGCATAAAAAGTCAAAAAAATGTCCTAAATGTGTTTGTACTTGTTTCATTTTTACTAATATTGTAATAAATGAGGATGGGAAAGGTTTTACTGGGTGTACTACAAACACCTTCAAAATAAAAGTAATGAAAATACTAACATATTTTTATTTTTTAATATATTTAATTGATTCAAAAGGAAAAAAAATCATTTCTAAACTATTTGAATGAAAAGGAGCAGAGAAGAAAACACACACACATGAAATATCATAATTCCAATTATTTTCTAACCTTCAAACACAAACTCAAAGTGTGTAAGTTCTACATGTCGCTCACCACAGCAAGTTAACACATTTGCAGCCCATTATTCTGCTGTAAAATTGAACTGCTATGGGTAATCAGACATTATTTACAGATGGAGCAAAACGACTTTCATTTCATTGTAAAAATCAATTAGGTTGACTCATTCACTGCCAGCCGTTTCCTGATCGCTAACGGGCTTCGCTGCCAGCGTTTCTCACCGTTTTTACTGTTTTTTAATAGTCACAGAACATTGCGTGCTAGGATGATGTCGAAGCCAAAACAACCAAAACATAGCGGAGACTCACCTCTTACATCAGGAAGAATCTGCGTGTTTTCAGCATTATCCGTTCTTTCATAATCTGTTGTCGAATTGTAATCGGCAGACGCTTTTCTGGTTCACGCCTCACTTTTTTTTTTTACAGGAACGGCCCAAAATGATCTCCTAACACATTGATGTTCTGCTTCCTGATCACGTGACGTGTGACGTATGCGGATGAAGATCGGCTTCAGGGCTGAGATGTTTGTTCTCTCAGCGCGGGGGCTCGTTCCGATTTTCAAACAGTAAAAAAATGCAAATGACGACTTTAGTCGTCATTGGCAGTGAACGGTTGGATCTAAAATGACGACTTTAGTCGTCAATGGCAGTGAATGAGTTAAAGGTGTAATATGTAAGGATGTACCACATCCTGTGGTCAAGTTTGGTTGCTGCAGTCCATTTTTAAAATACACAAGGTGACTTTTTCACTACCGTTTTGTAAGGTTCATGACTGCTGCCAGCTACAGCTCAACACTAGAAAACACTAGATGATGTGAGAAGATAAGCCACCGTCAACGTTAAAATTCCACTAGTCATCATCACATGATGGTGAAATTACTCCGTAGTTGATCCATCCCCACGGGGAACGGTGAGCTGCAGCACTGACTGCACTTGGGAAATATTTGGTGGTTTAACCCCCTAATCCAACCCCTTAAAGTGGTGTCAAACAGGGAGGCATTGGGTCCCATTGTTAACATCTTTGATATGAACCAACTGGATTTGTACCCTTATCTCTTAGTCCCAGGGCGGATACTCTACCACAAGGCCACTGCGAAGGTGTTTGGAAAGTAGACAAATAAATTTCACTGTAATATTAAATAGTTGATCGATGAAAAAGTAGCCTAACTAGAGCTGGCTATAGCTTCTAATAACGAGCCCATTAGCATTGTTAGCTCAATTTTGGCCTCTAGCTTTTTTTTTTTTGCTCGATATTAGAGTAAAACAAAAAGACGCCGTGGCTTCTTAGGAGTACAAGAAATAACTAACTTCTTTGTCGCTCCTGTTGGCCTAAGAACTTTACAAAATGCTGCTGGGTTTTGCAGGCCGGTGTGAAATTACAAATGCCAGCGCTGCCGCGCCAACTTGGCCCTTACTCCATAACCCTGCAGGCTCACATATTGTAAACAATACATTCCTTTTTGGCCATTTGGAAATGAGACCCCCCCCCCCCCCCACACACACACACACACACACACACACACACACCCTCGGTTGGCAGACATAGAAATCTGCTTCAATTTAACCTTCCTTCCAACATGATTGAGGCATCAGTTTTGTAATTCTGCTGCTTTAATGTTCTTACATATTGCACCTTTAATTTCCACATGGCAATGAGGGTGTAAAATATATTTGCTTCAGATCATAGCTGTAAAATATGATTTACAAGTCTTTGTTCAATATTCATGCCTGTAACATTCAGTTTTTATGTTTTCTGGTGTCTAACAATAGATCAAAAACTTTTTATCCCTCAGACGTCAAAGGGTGTTTAGGCATTCTTAAATGGTGCCTTGATTGAAGAGGTAATACAAGCTGCCTATCACTGTTAAACATCAAAGAAAGGTTAAGGCACTCTTTTGTAGTCTATGCCGAATATTAATTTTTTTTCTTCCAGGTAGATCGCTGTTTTGTTTGACCTTTCAAGGAATAAGAGAAAGGTTGACTGAAATCGCCTGACATTTTGATAATCTTTTGCAAGCTATGATAAGAGAGGGGAGAAAAAAAATATTTGGCTGTAAGGTACTGCCGCAAACTGTCTACTGAGCACACTAAAGAATCATTTTATCATCTGTGTTTCACTCGTGGCTGTTATGCTTTAATTTAAAAGCTCCGTTCTCTTTGTAGTTTGGTTTACTGCTGGAGGTGAAGAAAATTCATGGTACATCATCATTGTTTTATTTTCAGATAAACCAGAGGTGAAGATTGTGGTGACATATCCTGAAGGTTTAACAAGAGAGGGCGACAATCTAGATTTGACATGCATCGCTGAAGGGAAGCCACGGTGAGTATTCTCGCAGACGGATTTGCTGCAGGAGTCAGAAAATCTGCTGTATATCCTTTTCTCTGCCAGCTTCCCCCTTAACCTTTCATTGTTCCATTAAACCAGTTGTTAGCATGCTGTACGCCATTAGACAGAACCTGCCCACAGTCCTCCTCTGCAGATCTCGGCTGTGACCTTTATTTCAGATTTCTTGCATGGAAAGACAGCGCCTGACTGATGCCTTTGGTATTTGTGCTCTGAAGTCCCCATCAGATCAAATGGCTGAGAGTAGACGAGGATGTGCCGCTGCACACCGTGGTCACTGGTTCTGAGCTCTACATCGAGAACCTGAACAAGTCGTATAATGGCACCTATCGCTGTGTGGCTTCTAACGCTGTGGGAGAGGCCTACGATGACTATGTCCTCTATGTTTATGGTATGTATCCCAAACAGGATGCATCTGAATTTCTGGTTATGGAACAAAACTGTTTTTTAAGTTCATAGATCTATTCAGTTGGAATGGAAAAAAATACCAAGAAATACTGGGGTCAGAAAAAACCTGGCAGGTCTACGTCACACTGTGAATTTGCATTCATGGACTGACCCATCTTGGCTCATGACAGGAAAGGCTTTTGTTGATTTAGCATCCAGGAGAGAGCAGAGCACATTTTGGCTAAAAAAATGCTAATCGTTAGCATTAGCAACGTGGCAGAACTTCTTCAGTCTTGTGTTATTTGTAGAGTTAAAGCAACATAGCTGAGCTAATGGGGAGCCTAACGCCGGGGACACACCGGCTGCCGAAGCGCCGCAAAACGGGGGCCGCCTTCATTTGGTGCCCTTGTTATCCTATTCTATAGACCACATGGGCCGCCGAAGCGCCGCTTGCTGGCCCGCGCCGGCGCTCCAGCCCGCGCCGTGCAGCGATCATTTCGGCGTCTGCTCTATTTTTTTCATGAGCCGCGGGTGATCCGCGTCAATTCTGGCAGGAAGTCAAACCTAGACATAAGAGGCAGGCTGGTAAATTTAACAAAATAAAGCATTTCAAAATACAATTCCGCGATAGTCAAATGTGTTCGTAAACAGACACTGCATAAAAACCACACAAACACACACACACCACACACACACACACACACACACACACACACACACTGAACTTGTGTGTGTGTGTGACCACGTGAAGGGGTGTGTTTTGGGGTGTCTTTCAACCAGAGCAAACAGGACAGAGAGGCAGAAAGTCGTAGGCCAGCTATTAACAACTGGTTCACACCATAGGTTCACACACACACACGTACAAACACACACACAAACAGCAAGGGGGATAGGGGTGTAGAGGAAAAGAGCAGAGAAAAGGCAGAGAGGAAATGGAGGATGCCAAGTAGTTTAAAGAAAAACTACGAGGCGCGCCTCAACCGGAGCGGAGACACAAGCGTCTGGTCTGAACTGAGGAGCAGAGGCCGAATTTCGTGAGCGCTTTGCCTCCCGGTGCTTCGCAGCACTTCGGCAGCAGGTGTGTCCCCGGCCTAAGGCTCTTCCCTTTCTGGTTGGCTCATGAGTCTCCTGAACAAAGAAAAAATTCATGTAAGTGACTGGGGCTATGAAAGCTTTTTTTCTAATCCGCTTTGTCTTATGCTCTGAATCACACAAATGTTGTACTTCAATTTAAATGAAAAGAAATCATGAATTTTGACTATGTCTTTCACGTAATATGAAATTTGTTAGCTTGTGAAAATTCGTACATAATAATAAATTTGTGTTGTTAAAGCAACTACAAATCAGACTTTGCATAAGTTAAATCACCTCTGAATCTCTTCTCACATGGCCTTGCTTCTTCTTACCACATGGCCAGATTTATAGAGGCTTTTCCCACATTTATTGCTCCTTTTTATCCTGGAAGAAGGATTCCTATAGGCAGGGCCAGATTATCATTGCAGGGAGCCCTGGGCACAATGTGCTTAGCCCCCACCCCCACCCCCATCCCCTACCCCACCCATCCTCCCCCAACATTACTGTCACCCATTAGGACTTTTTAGACATTTCATAACATTGTCAATATTAAAAATTGCTTACTTATGTTGATACAAAAACATTTACCTCCAGGTCAAAATAGTTTCATAACCTAATCACAACCACTCATACCTGATGATTTTCTTATTGTGCCTCACTCATATGTCTTTATTCCTCTGTCCTCTCTCTTTTCTCCTCTTTCTCTCTCTTCCTCACAGTGCTCCTGTCTTCTCTTCTGTCTGTACTAACAAAAATGTTGTCAATCTGTGGGACAGTGGGGGCAAGTGAGTCTGCTGTAAATGAGATCCCTCTGTCAAACTACAACAGAAAGTAATGCAGGATTATTTAAAAGATTATACAGTTATTGAAAAGTTTGCAAAGAAGAAATGTATGCATGTTTTTTGTCTCCTGTCTCCTTCCTCCTCTTGTTTCCTTCCTCATCTTGTCTCCTGTCTCCTTCCTCATCTTGTCTCCTGTCTCCTTCCTCGTCTTGTCTCCTGTCTCCTTCCTCGTCTTTTCTCATGTCTCCTTCCTCCTATTGTCTCCTGTTTCCTTCCTCGTCTTGTCTCCTGTCTCCTTCCTCCTCTTGTCTCCTGTCTCCCTCCTCCTCTTGACTCCTGACTCCTTCCTTCTTTTTTTGTCTCCTCTTGTTGGTCTCCTCTCTTGCCTTCAGAAAAACTGTTTTCTGGCCTTTCTATTAGTAAATTCATTTACAATGTCATGGAAGTCCAGATTCCTGACAAGCTGAGATTCAAAAACCATCAGTGAAAGCGCACTGAGGCACTGTTGAGTTTGTGTTGTTCTCAGTTCATTTTTTTATTCTTGCCATTTGTGAAAATGATTGTTCCCCTTCACAATTTGAAACTGGTAGAGTTAGAAAAATCCGCAGGGTCACAAACACATAGGGAAGATGGATTGTAGACTGTTTTTTAGCCCCAAAACTATCCTGGTTCTACTTATATTACATTATCTATGTGGACTCTCCAGGGATTATTTAGAGCTGATAGGCGCGCGCTCTGATCGTTGATGCGCTCAAGACAGATGCGACCTGAGCACAGCTGCAGTAACATTCTCAAAGTGTCGCCACCTCAAAAACAAAGTTAACTCGCGATCATTTATGTCGACTCATATCCTTTCATGCTTTCTGTCTTTTACTTGTGCTTGACGCATTTCGCTGCTGTGGAGCGGAGCGCATCACCTGTTTCATCCTGCATGGCGCGCACGGTCGGTAGATCATTTTTTAACTGCAGTTCAAATGTAACTCATAAGGTGAAAACATATGAAGTCAGGTGTTTTTCTTTAGGATTGAGAGGAGATGCAGGAAGATAACAGAGACAGGACAGAAAAATAGTCAAATAAAAACAAGTTTGTTTTTGTACCTGGTGGTTGCAACAAACAAACACCACTGAAAATAATCAGAGGTGAGGAACAGAAAATGAAATGATTCTTTCAATGTTTAGAGCAGCAGGAACTCTGAGAGGCTGCAGGCGCATCAGTGAGTTTGCAGCCGCTGCGCATGTGGCGGGGGGAAGAGGGCTGAAGCAGGGAACAGTAAAGATGCAAAAACTAGCATTGTTAAAAGAATTGTGTGTTAACTTAGAAAATGTGGGCACAATTTAAATTACTTGTCAACTTTTTTCTCCAACGTTAAGACTGCTGCACAAAAATAAAAAATAACCACAAAAAAAAAATAAGACTGCTGCTCATGTGGGCCCCCTTGTGGCTGTGGGCCCCTGGGCCTGTGCCCAGTTTGCCCGTATTATAATCCGGCCTTGCCTATAGGGAGCCTAAGTCACGCCCATCTACTTCCGGACCATGGGTCCCCGGAAAAACAAAAAAATGAATGCCAGTCAACGGGGCTAAAACGCTATTTTCTAATTCTGCTTTTTCTGAACTATGGATTTCACATATGATGTCCGTGAATTTTAAAGACACATATTGATGCCAAGAACGAGCTTATTTTTGAACGTTATGTTAGGTTTTGTGTGAAAAAACATCCAGGATTACAAATGCGCTTCACCAAAGTGGTGTCAGCAAACCAGACACGGAGAAAAGGAGAGGGAAAATGGCTGTACGTTCATCAAACTTCAAATCCTTCCTTCAGGAGGAAAGAACCACCATAAATCTAGCCATCTGGTAAGTTGCAGCTACGCTAGTGGAGAGGAAATCCTGTGGTGACGTCATATATGCAAAGTACTGACATCTTATTTTTAGTCATGCTAATTACGAACTTTTACAAGCTGATAAATCGCAAAGTATGTAACTGGTGTGTTCAAAACACACTTCATTACTTTACATTTTATTTACATCTCTAATTTCCCTCTGGGAATTAATAAAGTATTGATTGATTGATTGATTGATTGATTGATTGATTGATTGATTGAAATTGAATTACAACATATGTGTGGTCCAGGGTGTGAGGCAAATTTAGCCCCGTTCACTTGTATCCATTTTTTGTTTTTCCGGGGAGCCATGAGTCGACCGGAAATGGAAGGGGACTTAGGATATGGAGATAGAGGAAGCGCTGCATCACTTTTAGCCAATCAGTGTTTAGGAGTCCAAATATCACGAATTCTGTCCTCACTTATCCAGCTTACTTCTAGGTCCTGTAACAGAAGGGTGGGAACTTTATTCTACGTAAATGACTCTCAAGGCATGCAGGTATATAAGAGACCACTGCAAATTCATAGAAAAAATAAAATAAACAAATGTAAGAAAAAAGTCTTCACAGCAATCACAGGAAGCAGGAAGTCCAGACTTTATTAGTACGATTCTTATTTTTGAAGCAACAGACGGGCAGAAAATCAACCAGGTGGAACCTGTTGTACAGAAGCAGCATGCGTTGCCGTATGCTTTTTAGTTAGCGGACTCAGAGGAGACACTGAACAGGTCACATTTACACATAAATGTGGAAAATCTCTGCTCACAAGCTTTTAAGCAGCAATTGCAATCTTCAACTTTTCAGCCCCAACCAGCAACACCTTTTGTGACTTGAGGCAATTAATCAGAGTTCACATAGTTCTCCCTGGAGCCTCCTAATAATTATCATGACCGTGCGCCTGTAATGGTCTGTTTATTGGCATTGTGATTGTTAAAATGTATTCTATTTTCCCCGTGAGCCACTTGTTTTAATCTCTCCACAGTGTTTGCAGTGTGCTACTGTTTTATAAAGCAACAGAACCAAGATTTCCATTTCTCTTTCAGAGACCATTTATTATTTGTGATTCTTGACTGAAAACGTGTCATTTCTTCTTCTTTTTATTTAATTTAATTTTTTTTACCTTTTAAACTCGTTTTAGCCAAACCTCCATGAACAGGATTTATAGAGTCCAGGTGTGACTAAATTTTATATTAAGGCTTCTTCATGCAGAACTGAGTCCCCAGGGATGATCTTTGCAGGATCTGTCAGCAAATATGGAGAATTCAGTG